TTATGGAATTTGACATCTAACTCATATTCCCATATTAGGCCACTTATTATAATCACTAGGTGCTCTTTGCTAATGAAACTGGCCTGCAGAAAAATGAGATATTCCAGGAAAGGAAACCAAAATATGTGAGAAGTATCTGTGTATTAGACTTGTATTTTCATTCTTATGAGACAATATTGACATAATCATCTGACATAATCATCTTGGCAAGAAGTTTTGCATAAACTACATGGTCCTGAAGCCCTTGCAAGACAGGAGTCCTTCTCCTGTGACATACCATTTTTCTTACTAGTGTTCTACATATGCAGGAGAAATACATTTTTTTCTACTTTGTATTTTTCATGTCAGTAGTAGATTAAATTGGAGCGAGGGAATGATCCTATTGGTTTAGCAGTGGTTTGAAAGTTTTAGCTAGTTATCAGCTTGTCTCCTAAACACCTGAGGTTTCAGTCCAGCAGAGAATTTAGTGAGTAGAAGTTTTTTTCAGTAGTATGAGGCTCACTTCAGTAAGTGCATAACTAATGGGTTTCTCTGTAGAATTAGGTTGACTCATATTCCAGGCTTATAGCATATAAATGCAATGAAGCTGTTGTAATTTTAGGAAATACAAGTGATTAATTTATTTTGATGTATTCCACCCCACATCTAATTATTGTCAATTAAAGTTTAAAAGTTACTGTTTTTATTCATCAGTGTATCAATCAGTGTTTTGAAATCTGACCTTGTGCTTTTCTTATTTCTCATAAGAAAAGCAGTACTAAAAAAACACTGTGTAGTTGTAAAAATCCCCCATGTACGCACTTTTAAAATTTGTTCATGCTTTTAGCTTTCTAATCACAGTGGTTTTTCTAATGCTTTAAGTTAAAATAGAGAAATTATAATATATAGCATATGATAGACAAGATAATTAATAATATACATAATGTTCAAGGGAAAAATTGCATAGTCACTTTTACTAGATCAAACATGTCTAATATTTATGGTGTTTTAGTACTGTATAAGCACTGAAAGAGATGAAATATTTTATTTCTAAGCTTGTAGGAGATCTGTTATTTTTGTACTGGAGACAACAGTACACCCTGAAAATCTTAACATGCTGAAAAGACTGTCCAGGCAAAACCTGTAGGTATGGCACTGGATTGTTACTACTGCCTTATGTTGGCCATGGGTTTTTGGTTTGTTTTTTTTTCCATTAAGAGAAGTAGCACTTAAGATAGGAGAGCAAAACACTTAGATAGTCATCAATGTGTTAGACCAGCTATTATGAGCAATTTGAGCCTTCACTCCCTGCAGTAAGGGTTTTGACTTGCTTCTTGCAAAAAGATTATTTGGGAAATTATCTACTTTGGTTTATCTAGTTTTCCTCCTATGAACAAATAATGTTTCTGGTGTTCCTTCAGCCAGTTATATCAATTGTGATTAACATCTGGAGAAAGCTCATAGTACATAGTTTCTTTATAGACAATGAAATCTTACTGAGAACTTCAGGGGGAATATTATATGCTTCCAGCAAATTTTAGCTGAATGAATTCCAGTGAGAAAAATCCACAATCTACTTCTTTCTAACACTCCTTATTTTCTCTCTGGGTGAAATACACACAGCAAGGTTTAATATAGATCTTTCAGCAACTCAAAGCAATTTCCAAGGAATCTTTAGAAGGATGCTTTCATTTTTTTTCTAATTTTGCATGAATGTCCATTATATTTTCTGGAATTTGAAGGCAATAAGTACAAAGTAAACCAATCATTGAGGCCTTCACCTTTTTAATTTTTGTTTTTATAATTGCTTGCAGTTTCTATACGTGTTATTATGCTGCATATCTTTTGAGACATGAACTTCAGGCATTGCAAATGATATAATTTTGCTTTTCCTTATAAAGAATTAATGTATCTTCTTAATGCAGCTTCTGATTGGCTTTGAATCTGGGACGGTGGTATTATGGGACCTGAAGTCAAAGAAAGCAGATTACAGATATACACATGATGAGGTAACATTTTTCATCTGCATTACTTACTCTGAGGATATAATGCACTATTATACTGACTTTTATTAGTTTTTTTAATCTTCTGCTTCTGTCACCAGTGGATCAATAAGTAGATCTATTTGAAATTGCAGGTACTGGAAATTTTCTCTGAAAGAGCAGTAGGGGTAGAATAATAAACTTCAGACCAAATAACTTCACTGAGTTTAAGTTTGTAAAGTAATGGATGGATTGTATTTCTTCACTAAAATTTTAGATCTTTTTTCTGTTAATCATTTGATTTTCACCTGTGTTAAGGGCTTAAGTCGAAACAAGAGGGTTTAGCAATTTCTGTAATTTGGGATCTCTCACATATTCTTGGAACTGCGAGCGGAAAGGGAAGGGGAAGAAACCACTAAACAAATAGTTTCACTACAACATTTCTCTAACCACTTTTTCTTAGTAGAATAAGATCAAGATCAATTCTCTTTGAAATGAGACTGGAGGAGGTTTAAAGAAACAATGACATTAAGTAGCATTCATTTCTTTAAAATTTTATTCTTGAGAGAATAGACGTCTTGAAAGACTGAGATTAAGAAAAATGAGTCAGCATAATAGCAAGTTGATGTATTTAATTTAAAATAATACAAGATTGTTCCTGATTACATTGTGTTGACTGTAAAATGGCTTTGTCATTGTTCAGTACCAGCTTTAGGGTTTTTTTTGGGGGGGGTGGGTAGGGGTGTGAGGTTGTTCGGTTTTTTGGCAGCCCTTCTGGCTTAGTACTTATGTGTATTATATCAAACAAGAGTTTACTTGGAGGGGGAGGGTCTGAAGTCGTCTAACCCTTAGCTCATCAGAAATGCCCATATAAGCCCCAGAGTTGTGTTATGCAAAGAACAATTTTTCTTCCTACCATTTTCATTGCATGAAACTAATTCATTCCCTTTATCTTTTTTTTTTTTTTTCCATAAATTTACTCATGTCTTCATCATCTTTTTCTTCCTAGACCTCTTTCTTGTGTTCTCTAAGTTTTTAAACCATTGTATTTTGTCCTTGTTTTGTAAAACAAGCACAGCACCATAGAATATGAAGAATGTGGGTACACTGGATTTATCATGTGAAATAATTGTCTTTGGACTTGTTTTGTTTTTCTCTTTCTATTGATCTTGATATTGGATTAGCCTTAAAACTCACCATAAAACCAGAGTGTTCTTCAGGTGTTATTTGTCAGGTCAAAGTCCTGACATTTAGCCATCATTTTTCATTGACATAGTTGGACAGTAAAAATTAAAGTCTTTCTGCAGTTCTTCACTAAAATCCTGATTTCTGCTTTGAATGTGGTTTGGTATTGTCAGCAGACTTTACCATCTTAATATAGTTGTTCTAATTTTCCAAGTTGCTTATGAATGAGCAGTATAGATCCCTGAGAGTCTCTACCATTTAGCTTCATCAATGAACTAATCAATTAGTGCCAGCCTGTCTTTATTCCAGATTGCTTTACTTCCTTAACCAGTTATTTCTTTGTTCAAAGATATCTAGTCTGTTTAGTTTTAGCTCCCTTTGAGATATGTTTTTGAAGGACTTTGAAAGTTTTGTAGACAGCTTAAGTGGTGTTTCCATGAACCTCATGCCTTTTACCATTCTTGGAGCTTAGTTTGACTATAATTACCTCTCTCAAAAAGCATGTTGACTACTTCTGTCTGGTATATTATACTCATCCATATGTCATTTAACTGTTCCTCGTTAAAATTTTGTTGCAGTTTCTAGAAATTTACCTAAGGTAGACATCATGCTGCTTATTCTGGTTTTTTATTTTTTACTTTGTGGCCTATTTATTTAAAAATTGACTAAATATCTGTCTCACTGCTTTTTGGAACCAATTCTGACTTGAGAGGCTGTAGAGATCAGTGACTAGTTTAGATATTGCATCTTTGATTTTCTTTAGGATTTAGAAGTGGATGCAGTATTCAGTATGTGGTATTCTGGGTATTCAGTTTGGGTTTTTTGGTTGCAGAAGAGGTAATGAAATACCTCAGGTAATGAATTACCTTACCCTTGGTAATGAAATTGTCTTATCATAACTTGGGAATGGTTAGGAAAGGAAAAGAAAGAAAATGACGATCTGGTAATTGTAGTGGCTTCCTTGCTCATGAGAGTGTGTACGCAGAAGACTCAGAGTGGAACAGTGAAGTAGTGCCTTGTCTCAGGAGATCTCCTCTCTCTGGTCAGTGCAACGCAGAGCAAAGGAAGTTCTTACCATTTTGTTTCCTGCTGACAGGCTGTGTGAATTTGGAATTTTCTGTGCAGAGAATCTTTCTAGCTAGTTTCTTGTTGACTTCCTGGTTTTGTGGCGTTGTTAGAGAACTTATTCTGTGCACAGACTTTAAGTGCTGCATTCCATCATGAACATGTGTGCCAACCTACCCTTAAGGGACAGGGAGCATCTAATGTCACAGCATGCTTCACCTCTTCTCTCACAGAGGGTAATGCATGTGACATTCTGCCCCGTAGCAGGAGCCGGATTTTAAGCCTCAGGATTTATACCCTTGGTTCTCTGCTTGTTCTTGATGAGAGCTCTTTTGAGTGTGGAGTTGACAACCAGTAAGAAGAGAACTACTTAGTTCAATCTTGTCACAGTTGCCATCTTAGGGGGTGGCTAGGCTTCCTCAGGCATCATGAGCAGGGTGGCCAGGACATTGATACTATAAAGAATATTTGCTAGAAACTTTGCCATTGCATTGGTTTCCTCCTCTCTCGTCACTTTGTAGTTGATGTTATTCTTAAAGTGTGTGACTTGAAGGTCCCTGCAGTCTTTTGCCATCATTTGATGCAACTTTCTTAACCTGAAACTTCGAATGTGTGCAGGGGTCCAAATGTCATCCTTTCTTCCTTAGCAGAGGAAGATCATAATGAGGGTCAAAATCCCTGTGCATCCAGAGGTTTGTGGAAAGATACCTGTTATTTCCTGAGGGAAGGCGTTGGATCCAATTATATGGGTTTGTTCCTTCCCACTTGGTTTCATTTCAAATGGCCTGACCTTTAGAAGGCTTTCTTAAAACAAATTCCCATGTTGTGGTAGGGCAGTCTCATTTGTTGCCTGAAAGCCAGGTTAATGGAACACTGCGCAGACTTTGTTCCTGTCGGAACACGTGTGCTTCCCAGAGCCCTGGGCTAATAGCTGCAGCACAGGGACACTTGGACACTCATCCCAAGGACAGGAGCATGTGGGTAACATTAACCATGGCTGGGGGATGCAGCTCAAGGTCATGATTTGGGTTAGTGCTGATTGCTGGCATATTCTCTGAAGAGCATTCTATTTACAGGACAACTCAGAAATTTAGTTATAATTTGATCTTTCTATATTATGAATTAAATCCTGAACTTAAAATAGTGTGTATTTTTTATTATAACAATAATATTTTGAATATTTAGAATTAGTTAGAACACAGATGTAACATTATTTTTCAGAGAATTTGGACGAAATTATTTGTACGTAATGGAACTGCAGCTGTGAATGAACTTTTGTTTAGAAAATTTCTTTGAAACCCTTTACTCAAAACATTCATCCCTTTTGTCCTGGGCAGGCTCAATGAAAAAGTAAGACTGAATTCCTTTTGCACCTTCCTTAAGCCTTTTATATGCAGACATTGGGGATTTAAGGAAAGTAAGCTGTGCATTTTTTATGTTAAATACATTTTATATTGCTGTCATTTCCCAACATGTGTGTTCATGAAAGAAATAAAACAAATTTCTCAACTATTAGCTTTTTCCTAAAAAAAAACCCCAAATCTCTTAACTGTAACTTCTGAAACCTAAAGCTTGTTTTATAATCAAGTCCCTTCTTCAAGTAATATTTTGTTTGTTCTGATGTCAAGTAAGCTTTGACAGCATTAACTATAATGCATTATAGATTACTATTTTTAGACTCAGTGTTCTGGTACATGGTTGAGTGTAAGAGATTATTTTAGAGCATTAAAAACATGTCAAAGTAGCTTGTGGAATTAAGAGGACAGGGGAAAGAGAAACAATCCCAGAATGTGACTTGCCAGAAACCAAAGTGTGTCAATGTATTTCATTTCATCAAAACAATCTTCATGATGCATTGTCATTTAAGTCTCAGTAGTGACATTTTTTTGTTTTCTTCCTTTTGCAGCATTTTTCCCCCTTCCCCCTTGTTGACAAGAGAGTTAGCATAAAATCCCTAAGTTTTAAAATACTTTGTATATTTTGGTGAACCTGTAGAAAAGGATTCAGTATCATCATCCATTCATGTTTAAATGAAAATGCTGCCCATATCTGTGGAAATTAAAGGACTGTCAGAATAAGGCTTTGAAATCTGGATAAGATATCTGGGTAAGATATGGTAAATAGCCAGTCTGGCTTGCAGAATAACTAATCCTGGGCTTTGCCAGTCATATTCAGTGTATTTCAAGCTCAATTAATGTCATGAGAGAGTAAAGGTTCATTGAGAAATCCAAAGAATTATGAAAGGACCTATCAATGTCTCTGGTACATTCCATATTTGCAGTAGTCTAAATTCAGTGTTAGAAATCTGGATTAAAAAAATTCTCTTGAAACCAAGGTAAACTGCTTAAATTCATAACTTTTGTCTTTATGTCATTGAAATCCTCCATGCACTGTTCTGATTTTGGCTGGAACAGGTTTAATTTTCTTTCTAGTAGCTGGCACAGACCTGTCTGTTTAGATGCACTATAAGTAACTTTCATAACACACTGATGTTTTAGTGGTGCTGAGTAGTTCTTTTTATCGCAATTATTGAACTGTTCTTACCTCAACCCATGAGTTGTTCTGTTTTTTTCTGGTTCTCCCCCACATCCTACCGGTGAGTGAGCAGCTCGTGTGGTGCCTGGCTGCTGGCTGGGGTTAAACCATGACAGATGAGAAGAGTGGTCTCAGACTGTTCCAAAATCATATGTATGTAATCAGCTGTAGGGCTAAAATAAGCCTGTAGGAATTTAAAAGAATGGGATTATTTGTATCAGTATTTAATGAATTGAAACAGCTCAATTCCCCTGGTGGAAAAATACCATAAAAGCTTGAGCCTTTATTGATGAACTTGACTCTTAAATTACAAGGATGCATTTAAATTTTTCATTTTTGTATCCCTTAAAAGAACCAAGAATAGTTAATTCTAGGGATATTTACAAGCTATTGCAGAAGTAAAAATAAATTTCATAAAATGTTTTAAAATATGCAATAATCTCTTGAAAAGCTAGTGATCTACTTAAGATATTTCTGTAGGAGTCTTGAATATAAATTATTTTAATTTTGTTCCTCAGACTTTTTTGGTTTATTTGTGATTGCATTTTACAGTCCTATGTAAGTCTCTCTCAGTTAACTGCTGCAGTTGCTGCAGAAATCTTTCCTTAAAATCAGGCGTGCTCCCCTTATTTGCAGGCAGCATTTTTCCACATGGGATAATCTTTTTGGAACAGATGGTGAATTGATTCTGTGTTTGTGTACACCCTGTCTTCACATAAAACTCAGGCATAGTTTCTACAATTTCTTGTTTAGGTATATATAGGACAGCAAGGTCAATTGTGTTTTTATTCAAAAAAGTAAGATTCAATTCCCCACTCCCCCAGAAAATACATAACTTTCTTAGAAGTTTTGAAACAAACTTCCCTAGAGTCCAGAACAGGTGCCTTAAATTTGAATTACAGTGGAGGATAGTAGGAATACTTCCAATAAGAAACATTCCGTGGTAATTAATTAAATGCAAAGATTTATCTGCACAAAGTTGGTTGATTTTTTATTAGAGTTCTCTCTGTGAGTTCCTGTAAAGATTGCCTGTATTTGGTTCGTGTTTGTAAATGGAAGGACTCAGAACAGTAGTGAGGTCAGGACTTGATTTACCTGTGCAGACAGCTCAATTTATGGATACAAATGCCCTGTGCCTTAAATATAGCGACAGTCTTCTGTGATACTTGGGTATGATCTTATTATAAGGGGTTACTTTCTGGTCCCATGCGACCAGAAGAGATGACACAGTTAGATCTGTACCAGCTGATGTAAGCACACTGCTGTATTATGGTACCAAAAAGAAAATAGGAAGTTTTAATAATTGAGAATTAGAGTGAAAATAGAGAGTTTTGTTCTGCATCAGGAAGTTTTGTGTGAAATATTGCAATAAAAATATATTACTCCTAGGGGCTCTCTAGTGTCTGGGAAGATTTGCCTGGTTTTGCAGTCTCAGTGGATTCTGCTTAATTTTCCTATTTTATGCTTTCCTTCAAATTCCAGCACTAATAATAACCGTGGAAAAAATGATAAAACTTTTTTGTTCTTGTGTATTGAGATGATTTTTTCAGATAGCAGTTTTGTTTTGGTGATTGAGACTCTTGCTAATCAACAAACTAGTGTTATCAGCTAACTGGTACTACTTAAGGTTATTATACTTCTTTCATTATAAATGTATTCTCACCTGACCAGCTTGTTGTGTACCTCAAGATAGTGCTGGAGCCACTTACACAGTTGGTTTTATTTTTCAGACTTACAAGAATTTGTGAATTGTGTGATAGCAAAAGATATTGCTCTATACAAAAGTTCATCATACCCATCCCACAGAGTTGTTATTGTTAGTTGGATTATTTTTTAAAATATAAAAGATATATTTTGGTTATATTTTTAAAAAATATTTAGCTGCATTACTAAATACAACAAATTACTCTAAAACTAAAGAGACTAAAACTAGGCAGTAAATAGCCATAAAGTCAAAAGGCTCATTGTATTCTTTTAGAGATTTTATATTTTTCATCCCTCCATGTTCCTTGCAGAAAGTGAGAGCAGTGGTCCTCCTTTGTGCTCAGATCTTTTTATCTTCTTAAGCATTAATGGTGTTGGAACAGTAACAGGTTGTTGCATTTCTCTTCTCTTGACATTCTTTTTCAAGAAAAGGAAGAAGTGATCATTTCTCAGATTTATTCTTCCTTCCTTTTATGAAACTTGCTGTCTTACTTGTTCTTAAGACCTATTTCTACATAAATATGGATTGAACTGTTCCATTTACACTGTGGGCTGCCTACTGTTATCAGGGTTAGACTTCATATGGGAGATTGTGTAAAATATACTGATTATGTTGTATTGCTAAACATGCTGTAGACATTTATTTTCTCAGTGACAAGAGCTTTTTTAAATACAGCCTTCTCTTTACCAATCTGCACTTCAAACTTGTTGATCCCTTGCTTTATTTGGTATAATGTTGGTAAATAAAGAAAATTTTTCAATATTTATGTAAAATTTCTTTTATAATACTGTGTTTTTTGATAATTTTTTTAAATTAATTTTTTTTAAAAATATTTTTTATAGTAGTTTTTGCTAAATAAAAATTTGACAGGCAGAATGATCAAGACCGTTTCACTTTAACAGCAGGAGACATCATGTGAGGAATTATGTTCAGGATTCTCAGTTACATGTGTAGATGTGATACTGGTACACAGAATCTCTTTAACAAAATCTATGGTGATTCTACAGTACATAGGGAACAATATTAAATTCCACTAAGAAATGCTGAACTTAATTTGTAGTTTACATATATCCATATGTTATATTAATTTATATTGGGGAAATTTTTATTGGAGACTCTAGGCTCATAGAACATTTTCTTCTGTCATTTAAACTCTGGATTCTCCCACTCTGTTTGCTGGAAACTGTCTTGTCTCTGTATAACTTCATGAAATATGAAGATCTGATCTGTGTATAATCAGTTTGAGCAAAGCTCGCTTGGATCTGTCTTGAGATGTGCTCTTCATCCAGTAATTACTGCTTAAGCTGTCATTGCTGTTTACAATTCTCTACTGCTCACACAGCCAGGTTTCCTCACAGAGGAAATCCCAAGGTCCCTGAGGAGCTGGAGTAAGCCCTTCTTACAGACAGAATCACTACTGAGGGTATCCACTAAGGGTATTGTAAAACCCATCAGGTTTCACTTATTCAGCACCTGCTTTTCTAGTTTGCCTAATGTCTTTGTCATAAAAGTAAGTCTACCTTTTCAGTAATACCAAAGTTCTGTATTTCTTGCAGTTATTGGTTCCTTTTGCACCTTCTGTTTAGTAGAGAAATACTCTCAGGTTTCATTGTTTGCTGATATTTTCATGCTATAACTAAAATTCCTGTGAACATCACCTAATGGTTTCATGATGTCTCCCTGTACTAACAGAGATTCTGGAAGTAGAAATGGCATCAGTCTTTTCTTGCTAGTTAATATTTTTGCCTTATTTGTATTCTTTGCATTATTGTTTACATTCTTCTTGCCTGAAGGCAGTCACTAGATTTTATTTATTTAGCTATTTTCTGTAGATTTTATGTGGTGTGGTGTAATTGTTCCATTCTTCATTTTAGGAAACTAGAGATGATTTTTTATTTATGGAAAATTTTACGAGTAGATTCCTATGTTTTACTGCACCTCAAAGCTGCCATTGCAACATTAGAGTATCCAGGCTAATACTTTGCTTTCATCATCATAAGTTTAAAAAAATCTTGTTACTTCAATTCTTGTTTTATGGAAGTTTTGAGCCAGTGCTTGCTTCTTGTGCTCATCCACATAAACAAACATATCAAAAGGATATGTAATACTTGAACTTAATGATCTCATCCCATTTTTTTTTGTCTGGACAGTATGTTTTTCAGAGTACTCAAAAATTTTGGTTAGCAAAGCTTAAATAAGAGCTTGCAGTTATTCTCTTCCTGCTAACTTTCATGGAAGAAAGCTTCAGTACTATGCTGAGAAGGGTGGATTCCCTGCTTGCCCCCCTGAACAGGTCACTACAGTGAAGACAGTATTTTTGATGGGTAAAGGGTGTCTGAAAGTACTAGTTGCATACAGAAAACTTACCATGAGTAAAGAGAGATATTATTTAAACAGTAATTTCTCTAATTGGCTTTATCTGTTTAATGTCATGAGGAAGGTGTTAAGAATAAAATGTTAATAAGATAAATAATTTATGTTGCTCTGTTTTTTCTTGCCTAGGCTATCCACTCTGTGGCTTGGCATCATGAAGGAAAACAATTCATTTGTAGTCACTCAGATGGTACCTTGACCATATGGAATGTAAAATCTCCTACCAAACCATTCCAGACAATCACTCCACACGGTAAGATGACAATGGATATGCACTGCACTTGACAGCTCTTAACATGTAGAGAACTTGTTTTTAATAGAAGTGTATTTTGCAAAAAGCAAGTATTAAAACCACACTTGCAATGCAGTTAAAATCTTTCTCAGTCATATGGATTTCTCATAGATTTTACTTGAAAAAGAAAAATCTTTGTGGGATAAGAATCCAAGTCAGTGCAGCTTTCTCTAAACCTTAAGCTTGTCTTCCACACAGTGGCACTGATCTCAGAATTAACTATTGCATATTTTGCAGGGCTGGCTTTTGGCTTGACATTACAATCCCATAGATTGTTAAAAATACACATGAGCAAGTACCTGTTTTATGTATAAATGTGTAGATTGCCACATAAATTTTTGGAAAGGTTTACAGAATAAGAATAGCATCTCATGAGATGTGCCCACTTCTGAGAGGTCTTGCATTAATGTCGATCTAGGAAATTAACATTACATGTTCTTCTGTGAAATATACTGCCGCTCTTCAAGTAAGTTCTACACAAATGCCAGGCTTACATGGTGTGCATGTCTCTATTTCATGTCTTAGCATCTTAATTTGGATTTTTAAGTGAGGCTGTATTAGTGAGGATAATAGCACAGTTGAGAGATATTTTTCATGCTCAATTGAAGTCTTAGCCATGAAGGATAATAATCAGGATAAACCTCACTTGTAAGCTGACCAATTTCAATTGAAAAAGGGTAGATACATAAATTTTAAATCTCCTAGTTCTACTTAAAACAGCACTTTAGGGGAGGATTATACCTTTGAAAACAAATATTCTACAGCAGTCAGGTTTAGAGTTAGTTTTTTCCTAAACATTCTAAGTTGGTGTGTTGAGAGCTTTAACAGATTTTTGTTATTCCCAGGCATACTCTATAACTGTCAAAGTTGTTGAATATGTGTTTGCATGAATTTTATACTTCTCAAGCTGCACAGTGAATTTCATTACTTGCCATAATGTTATGGAAGTGTAAGATTAACACAGGAAAATCATTTACTTTAGGAAAGCAGCTGAAGGATGGAAAGAAGCCAGAACCCTGCAAACCTATCCTTAAGGTGGAATATAAAACAACTAGAGCTGGGTAAGACTTGTTTTATATACAAAATGAATATATGTTACAGTTCAACACTTGGGGAATGGACTTAGTTTCCCAGTTGTTTGGGCACATGTTCTGATGATATAGCTTTGTTTTAGCTTTGCTAAATTAGATATTGATGAAAAAACTACAAAAACTTTTATGAAGGAATTACTATAAATAAATCACCAACACTGCTAGTGCATTAGTTTCATTCTTCTTTCATGCTACTAAAACTTGTATGTGCTTTTGCTCAATTTTTTGCAAGTTCTAAAGAAAATAAAGATGATAAAGCACAGAAGACAAAAAAACACAGACATGATTAATTGAACTCTAATAAATAGTACCCCGAATTGAATATTCTAAATTTTGAATACATGTTCCTCCCCACTAAAATGTTATTAACAGACGTTTATCTAGTAGAGTGCAGTAATTTATGCAGTGAAGTGTGCCTAATTATGCATATTGAAAATGTAACAAAGCAGTAATTGCAACAAGAGACTCAGATGAAATTACAGTATCTAGAGTAGCATGTTTTGTTACCAAGACTGGAGTTAGGATGGATGGATTTAATGAATTGTGTGGAATTTCTTCTATTTGTGGTTCTGAAGTGTTCCAGTAAAAAGTGCAATATAAAGATGAAATATTCATGGAAATATGTTCAGCTATTTGTAAAAGCTGATTTTTTGTTTGTTTTCTTTTATTATTTAATTTATTATAATTTATTTATTCTCTTTTTAATTTAATATTTTATACATCTAAAATTTATTTTATTTAATATTTTAATGTTTAATATCTTAATATCATGTTTTTATTTTATTATTTATTTCTTTTATATTTTGTTTGTGTTCCATTTTTATTTGCTTTCAGGCATTCGAATCTTTAGAAGATGGTTACTTAAATGATGCAGTATGTGTTGATATACTCATAATATCACTGGCTTTAGGTGTTTTAATATTTTGCTAAAAGTGAGGTAAATAAAAACTTAAAACTCTGCCTAGCTCCCAGTTTTATAAAAATCTGTCATCTGGAAAGCCATGGTTTACTTGTGAAAGTCTACATCTGTCTGCATAATCCTTTTGCAACTGAAATATCAAAAGCTGATCTAAAGAGAGATAATCAAAAAGATCTCAGCTTCAGCAAGTTACAATTTCTGCAATCAAGAGCCTTTTATGAATAGTCATTCTGAAGGAGAAGATTAGTTTGGAGCTTATTCTGTGACATTATATTATTACAATATGAAAACTACTTGACTTTTCACATAGTTTAAAGAGTAGTTTATTCTAGTATAATTTCTAAGAATTCTTGGGTGTTTGGGGAGGCTACTTTTTCCTAGTGTTTGGCTTGTTTTTGTTTTTTTTTTTCCTGTTGCACTTCTCACTTTCTGATATTTATCCAAACTGAATATTTTGATACATTTCAATTTACTCTTCTCTCTAATGTTTTCTATCTTCGGTGTACTGTTAAATCTACAGTTATTGATAACTTTTCCTCAACTTTAATTAAGAGAGGGGGGGAAAAAAAACCTTGAAAAATCCCACCAGTCTGCACTGTGGTGGAGACGCAGTGCACCGAAATCTCTGTTCCTTTACTGCTATGAGTACTTCAGTTTGCAATTCAATTGTCAGTTTCACTTGTAATCTTAACAAGATTTTTAAGGCAAGATAGAACTAACTTTCAATAAATTTTTGGTAGATTTTCTGTTTACCATTTTCAATTGTTTAATTATGAGCAAGGTAAGATTTTAACTTTTATCTAAAGTGCTGTCATTTCTTAGATATAGTTTAATTTCTGTAGCACATAGGAGAATCATTTCTGGACAAGACAAAATTTTTCAGGCCACTGAAACAATGTAGGAAACATATCAAACTTTTTTTCTGTAGCAATTTACAATAGCTATTCTTCAAATATTAAAAACAGCAGAAAAAAAAGTAAAGAAAGTTTGCATTTAAGAGATAATATTTAATGCTTATTTAAGATATATTTCAAATCTTTATTATGAAAAAATGTTCTTTATTTCCATGCTCTATTTTGAACATCTGTCATCCCTTTTTTTTGTTTCTCCCTTATCTATCTAGAGTGGTCAAAGATCTAGGTCTGTTTCAGTACCTCCTCCAGTGGAAATCATTTCATTGATATGATCTTAACAGCTTTTTTTGCTGCTTCTAATTCTAATAAGCTGTTTTTGGAGAAAAGGGGTTCAGAACCATGCAAATGGAAGGACAATAACTGATGGCAACCTATATTAAGGGCTACAGACACTATTATTTTACTGTTGTAGAGCTAACAATTCCTTCTCACATTTTTTTTTTTTTTCCTCTGCATTTTGTTTTCCATATTGTAAAACTGGGGTCAGGACAAAAGGAGGACACGAGGCTTTTCCTGGGCTTTATCAGCTACCTATTTATTTGCTAACTTTGTGGGGTTTTCTGTTGCTTTTTGTTGGTTTGGTTTGGTTTTTAAGTGTACTGCAAATAGTGCAAATGAAAGTGAAGTGTTTAGAGCTAAAGTAATTTACCCTACAACAAGAGTATGTCTGTAGCTTTATTTCTGAGAGAAAGGTTACTATTGATGAATAACGTGTGAAAAAGGTACATTCTTTGTATAGTCCTTGTGCAAAGTGGCATAATTTTGAAATCTCAGACCATAATGTCACTCTACTGGAGTCACTTTTCATCTAAAATACTCCATCTTTTGTGAAGCACTGAATTTCAAAGGTAGCTTACCTTTTGAGCTTTCTAAAATGGTTCCCATACTGCTTTTTATGTCTAAAGTCAATCTAGAGACACTCTCAAGCTTCCTAATGCCACTCCCTCCCCCTCCAGATTCAGTCCTTCCTATAGTCCTTCATCCTTTCCACGTGTGCAGGTTCAGTACCCTATAGTATTTACTCTGGTTGATATTAGCATTATGGTAAAATTGCCTGTGTCTAATAGAAATTAGAGCTCAAAAGTCTCCATGTGAAACCTAATTCAGAAGGGTTTTGTCTTGGTAGCTGGTGCAGCTGTCATAGACTAACTGAGCGGTGCCTCTTAGTGAGACGGTTGTGTGTAATTGGGACCTAGAGGTTGCATTAATGATGATGGTTCCCACTAAGTAANAATGTTTGAGTATATGAGGACAACAAAGGTTTTAGGCCCTGAAATAATACAAAGCAAGGTACAGACATGACTGTAGGACACATTACTGGAATAAATCATCATATAATCGGAAACATGTGAAAACGCAGATGAACATGATTAGCTGCAAGACTTTCGGAAATAAAAGCAAAGAATTTTACTTATGGTGATAAAAATTAAGATATTACCAAAAAAAAAATACAACACCAATCATAACTAGAGTGCTGAAAGTGTGATGGAAATTACTTCCACTTTTTCATGCTCTTGGGTGTTATTTTACAACTCTAAACTGCTTATTTATATAGCATATTTATATAGAATACCATGTATTTTGTCTTTAGATTGACTAATCTGAGACAAGGTTTTATGGAATTTGACATCTAACTCATATTCCCATATTAGGCCACTTATTATAATCACTAGGTGCTCTTTGCTAATGAAACTGGCCTACAGAACAATGAGATATTCCAGGAAAGGAAACCAAAATATGTGAGAAGTATCTGTGTATTAGACTTGTATTTTCATTCTTATGAGACAATATTGACATAATCATCTGACATAATCATCTTGGCAAGAAGTTTTACATAAACTACATGGTCCTGAAGCCCTTGCAAGACAGGAGTCCTTCTCCTGTGACATACCATTTTTCTTACTAGTGTTCTACATATGCAGGAGAAATACATTTTTTTCTACTTTGTGTTTTTCATGTCAGTAGTAGATTAAATTGGAGAGAGGGAATGATCCTATTGTTTTAGCAGTGGTTTGAAAGTTTTAGCTAGTTATCAGCTTGTCTCCTAAACACCTGAGGTTTCAGTCCAGCAGAGAATTTAGTGAGTAGAAGTTTTTTTCAGTAGTATGAGGCTCACTTCAGTAAGTGCATAACTAATGGGTTTCTCTGTAGAATTAGGTTGACTCATATTCCAGGCTTATAGTCTCTAGCATATGAATGCAATGAAGCTGTTGTAATTTTAGGAAACACAAGTGATTAATTTATTTTGATGTATTCCACCCCACATCTAATTATTGTCAATTAAAGTTTAAAAGTTACTGTTTTTATTCATCAGTGTATCAATCAGTGTTTTGAAATCTGACCTTGTGCTTTTCTTATTTCTCATAAGAAAAGCAGTACTAAAAAAACACTGTGTAGTTGTAAAAATCCCCCATGTACGCACTTTTAAAATTTGTTCATGCTTTTAGCTTTCTAATCACAGTGGTTTTTCTAATGCTTTAAGTTAAAATAGAGAAATTATAATATATAGCATATGATAGACAAGATAATTAATAATATACATAATGTTCAAGGGAAAAATTGCATAGTCACTTTTACTAGATCAAACATGTCTAATATTTATGGTGTTTTAGTACTGTATAAGCACTGAAAGAGATGAAATATTTTATTTCTAAGCTTGTAGGAGATCTGTTATTTTTGTACTGGAGACAACAGTACACCCTGAAAATCTTAACATGCTGAAAAGACTGTCCAGGCAAAACCTGTAGGTATGGCACTGGATTGTTACTACTGCCTTATGTTGGCCATGGGTTTTTGGTTTGTTTTTTTTTCCATTAAGAGAAGTAGCACTTAAGATAGGAGAGCAAAACACTTAGATAGTCAACAATGTGTTAGACCAGCTATTATGAGCAATTTGAGCCTTCACTCCCTGCAGTAAGGGTTTTGACTTGCTTCTTGCAAAAAGATTATTTGGGAAATTATCTACTTTGGTTTATCTAGTTTTCCTCCTATGAACAAATAATGTTTCTGGTGTTCCTTCAGCCAGTTATATCAATTGTGATTAACATCTGGAGAAAGCTCATAGTACATAGTTTCTTTATAGACAATGAAATCTTACTGAGAACTTCAGGGGGAATATTATATTCTTCCAGCAAATT